TCAATCGCTTATTTTGAGTCTTTATTTTATATTCATGAACTGATTTGAAAACTCAGTAATAATTAAATTTAAACCATTAAAGAGTGAATAATAACTCCCTAATGCACATCAAGAATCACCGCACAATCCACTGTTAATTTAATGAAATGACAAATGCAGAGGTGAGCCGGTGTCAATTTATCATGGCGGCATCGACTCCGGTTGTATCATTTATTGGCGTGACACGACGCGGGGGAATGCCATTCACGGCGAGAATCACAATGCTTAGGTACGGCTCTGGATTGTGTAGTGTACTGTTTTAACGCACTCGTGTGTCGATTAAGCTTGCCAATCTCGACTTGTGGAAATCCAGGCCTAATTGGGCGGAACAAATGAGAGAGTGATACACAGGGATATAACACATTTCGTAACAAAATAGATCTTAAGGGAAGTAAACAACCCACTTTGCTTTGTTGTAGTTTGTTAAGTAATTAATCCTATTAACTTCTAATTATATCTTCTTACTTTTCGTAAACAATATTAGGAAAACAAACAAAGTGCTACTCCCAAAACCATTTCCGAACGATAGACGTCTCTATATCAGATTACGTAACGAAAAAATATTATGGCAATCATTCATATCTCTACACTATCTGCAAACGGGTTTAAGCTTCAACGACTTGAATCCAACGAAAATTAATTATTAATCTAGTATTTTACAGCATTTTACTTCTTGAATAAATCTAATAGCTAAAGATAGCAAGAAAAAAACTCAAATGATGCTGTCAATTTTTTTTCTGAAATAACGTCCAATAAGTTTGAATCGGGTAGACGGTTACATTGTTACTTTTTTGTCGTACAGTGTAAATACCAGTTAGCCCCACGATTTCTGCCAAGCGATTATCAGCTTAGCCGCCGTAGCCGTTAAAATGACGTAAGTCACCCATATCGGAATGCTACGCTTCAAGTTTGAATGCAGACAGGTAATCATGCTTGTATATTAACGCGAATATTTTAGCGGGCTGACTCATTGTATATGGTAGACCTTGAGTCTTTCAAATATTAATTTACATTCTGAAGGGAACGGTAATTGTATCAGGTTAGCGCTGCAAGGATAAGTTACAAACAAGTTGCCTCTAGGAGTTGCTCCTTGCCACTTCTGTTTGCTTACCTCTTGAGTTCGATCGGTTACTTCACTCTGTGTCAGAGACCTCATTTCGTATTCTATCCTTGAGAAATTCCGAACTTAGTCCTCTGGGAAAAATCCTGTACCTGTCCCGTACTACTGCAGAAAATTATTGGTCTTAAGATACCAGGTCACATGCTTTGATGCTTCTTGCGTCGTGTTTGAAAAATATTTGCTTAATTGTTGGCAATTTGAGAACAGTATGAGAGAGTCGAACTCAATACCATAACATTGGGAAACATGGGGAAGGCTCGTCAAGCTAAACAATGTAGGATCTATGTAGGTACTTGTAGAGTAGAAAATCGTAGTTATTTGATTTGCTCACCTAAAATATTGCAAAGCCACACAACACAACCTATTAGTTGACACCCAAAGTAAACGGCGCGGCGTGTTGGTTTGAAGTATGTAAATGTAAAAAATAGGACTCCAAACGCACATTAGTCTATTTATCAACAGCCTTGTTTAAATAGTCGTAGTAAGGTAAATATTTGAAGGGCGAGTTTTCGGATTATGTGTCGGTTTGTGTTAAGTTACGCGTATATAATTAACTTAATTTTTCCCATTATTTCTTTCTGTGTTGAGAAACACCTAGAAAATGTGCGGAAGCATCGTTATACGTCATGTACATAATGTAAACCATATTAAGTGTAACACAAAACAGAAACCATTGAACGAAATTGGTTACAGTATACAACTCCAAAATAGACGCAAACAATTGTAGAGTCAAACATAACACTTGAGCCATAAGTTCGGTCGCCCTACGAGTTCGGTTTTAAGGTCTAAAATAGTGCGACAATGAAAGATTTAAAGTCAAGACACGTCCACTGATATTATACAGTGGCAACACTCGCGTGGATAGTAACGCAGGGTCGTCAAATACTGTACGTTTAAAAAAGGTTTTGAATACGTGAAACTTTTTAAAGTGTAAAAAAAAACTTCAAACAAGTCCTTATGCATGATAAATGCAAACCAAGTTCGGAGTTTACCTGTTTATGCCAGGTTATTACACTTTTATATTCATTAAAATTTTAACGTCAGCCAGTGTCAGCACGCGTGAAACATTGTGTAAAATACATATATCTTTTTCATAAAAGTAACTTTTTTTACGAAACACTGTGAAATATCAAAATTCCAACGAAAAAAGAATTTCCAAAAGGTACCTATCGATATTTTTAATTGATAAAGCTTTTAACTACTCAGAAACAACGAGAAAAATTGAAAGCCTTTAAGGCTTTAGTGGGAGTATCAATTACGAGATTGCACTGTTTTTTTCTGGAATATCAATTTTCACAGCTGAAAAGAGGGACTAATTAAACCCAATGCAGAAATGATGAAAGGGGATATCGTTCATCTGTAGAAATTCCCTTTGTTTGTATTTACACAATGTCTGTAGAGCGAAATTCCCTCTTGTAAATCTGAAACTTTTGACCCAATTCTGTGTATTCTCTACTTGATACAACGCTTCAGTGTTTCACAGTAACTGTTTATTATTATACTCACAAAGGATACTTCGGTCTGTAATATCACACCTAATTTAATTTGTAGAAAGTTATGAATATGATACTTTTTATTTCTGAGGCACTTCTTCCATATCATGCGCTATAAAACCTTCTTTCTTATTGGCGTTAAAAGCCAAGGGCGAGGGGAGGATGCTTTGCTCATAATCCATTAATATGACCGATTCTATCTTCATGATAGACATTCTATCGGCAGCCCTACTTACTATGGAATGTTTGCGCGTCACATTGGTTCGTTTTCAAACCATTGTTGGGTTTAAACAATGAGCCACAGATACGAAGCGAGATGGGCAGGACCCAGTGTTCAACGTGAATCACCCGAGCTCTAGCTCAGCCTATGGCAAAATTCAAATTATCTAGGTCATATTAAATGCTTCTGGATGGGTAGTTTACAATCTTGGAAGAGATGGCAATCAAATTAAATGATTGATATTAGTAGTGAGTTGACATTTAAAGAGTCCTAAAAATGCATGCACAGACTAAAAATATCCACGTAAATAGTCCGTAAAAACTCATGGTGTGTGGAGAAGTTCATCCGTTATTTTATTGGTTTTAACATTGGTCTGACTTTTGAACTTTTAATCCTGGCGAATTTGCACCTGAATAATCCATATCAGTGTCAATCTCAATCCACAACGATAGCCTGATTTAGTTTATTTAAGGCAGATTTTTTAAAAGAGTCGTACGTAATACTCTCCTACGAATATTCTCCAAAAGCAAACTTGAATAATTAACACACCATTCTGCTTTTAAAACAATGCTATTTACGAAATAATTCTTTCAATAAAATGAAACCAATTTTATTTACAGACGAATTTAATAAACGAGGAAACGTTTTATGTCCATTAAGTGCCGAGGTTCTGTAAATAAAATAAAATTAAAACGCGACAGGTTCATTTAAGATTCGCAATAACGGTTAACTACCAATAGCTGTGTAAAGTATTTTACTAATATAAACAAGTAAGTTACTTTTTGATAAAAACTATAACCAGATGGTCGAAAATGAGAATGACATAATGCCTCATCGCATCGTGAAGTCATCTCCGACGGGTTCTAGCGCTATTCTATAAAAATACAATATCGTATTTTACTTTATTCTCCGGATAAAAATGCTTGGTTCGACGCCTCGGGAGCGGAGAGTACTTTCCCTGTAAGACGGTGTTACAATATCGACGGGTACAGGAAAACTCCTTACGTGTTTATCGTATATTCGTATATTTTCTGAAGTGTTCACGTCACAGCTCACAATGGTTCTATGTTCACCGATTTCCCTTCAGTTTCACTTGTGCTAATGTCTCAATGGGAAAAGTAGTTAACACAACTTGTCTGCGATGCTGTTAATGCATTTCAATGTACTCCTACTAAGTAGGTTTAGTTCTTTGTTATGCCAATGTGATTAATATGCAAGAGACGTGGATGCAGTTTATTGAATTCTCAGGGTTTTTTATTGGACATGCTGCTAAAATTCATAATATACCAGCACTCATGATCAAGTAAACTTTTGTTGGCTGGGAATATGAATAAACACATCAAATATAACGAAATATGAACCGAATCCTAATCCTAGCAAAAAAGGCGTGTAGATGGAATGATTAAATACACCGCTAATCGACTGTTCTCCCATTCAATTTAAAAATACAAACGGTATACAATTTTTCATACACTATCAAAACTCACTTTCGGATTTTGGGTCCAGTAAAACTTTCCAAAGAACCCTTGTCCACGCACAGACGAACATGTTTGATTGATACGGGTATTTAAGAAAAACTTGTAGAAAGTAAGGTACGAGTACGTAAACGTAATTGTACAAAAGATACAAAAACTTCAAAACTTAAAGGCGTTATTGTTTCTAAGGATTTACCTTTATGGGGAGAAGATACATATATCATTACGAAAAACTTCATTTTAACTGTAAAGTCAAGAAATTATATGTGATGCCATGAAAACGCACGGAACCTTCTGCACGCGAGTGTAAGTCGCACTTGGCTAGTTTTTATTTTATTTTGCAAACATGACCTACATTCCACCACCTGACTCTGCTGCAGCCATGAAAATCCCGTACGCAAACAACTGCTATAAATTTTTCACCAATTCACTTCACCAAAATTTTCGTGGATTGCCCCTATTGTTCGCGTTTTACCAAAAAACTGACGTCCCTATAACGGTGGTTACACCGTCTCTGTGTTCTTCTATTTTGAATCAAACGGTTTGCAAAGACTCACTAATTGGAAAAGGCACACATTGCATAGATTTTACAACAATTTGCTCATAACCTAATAAATAAAAAGGGAAGTTAGAATAAAATAATACAACTATAGTTACAAAAATATAATGGCCGACCAAATTTTGTTAATTTTTGCTTGTTTCTCTTTAGACCAACCCTTCAAATTGAATTGCATGTTTTTTATTATCATATCTAATATATCTTCTATTCCAGTAGCACCTCCATTCCAAGACATAAACATGTGTGAAACAGTTTCTAGCTCTTCAATATTGTTATCATTTAAATCGTAAACGTCGTTAATTTCATTAAGTAGTTCTATAAGTAACACTGCACACTTTTTCAACACATTTGGAATAAATTTAAAAACATTTTCATTTGTTATCACTTCATCAATGAAATCCAGCACATCTCTTTGAGCGCTAGCATTAGTCTTAGATGCATACAGCAAGTTCTTTCTAAACATTACATTAGACTTTATAGATGTAGAATATTTTTCTAAAACTACAGGTACAGCAGTTAAAACTTCTCCTATAATAGCATCACCGTCATTAAGGAGAATCCTGAGCCACTCGATTATGTAATCAGAATAATGTTCCCTTTCTTTGCATAGACCCAACGCATTACACATTTGCATTTCTATCAAACTGATGCCAAGTTTTACTTGCTGTCTGAAGATTTTTTCTTTTAAGGTCTGTCGATGCCAATTAGTGCGGGCAAGCCACGTTCCTTCTTTCAATTTGGCTAATGAATACTCTAATATCTTTTCAATTAAGAAGTTGGATAAATCCATAAAATCCAACAAGAAATCTTCTGATTCATTGAAACGTTTTTCTTCTATCATTTTCTTTAATTTGTATTGCAATAGATACTCGTATTCTAAATCAGTAGCGTTAAATGCCTTGTTGACTTTAGCGATTTCCTTTTCACCTAAGTTGTAATAGTTCTTGATGTTAGATTTTATTTGCTTCAATTGGTCTAATGATACAGATTTCAGGACACTTATAAATAATTCCCACGTAACAGTGTCGTTACTGTCAGATTCGTTAGAAACTTCTTCTATTTCATTTGCGATAATAAGTGTACTTTCATTAAATACGCTTGGCGTAGTGGCCAAAGTAACGACCTCATGAATATTGTTCTGCGTTACATTACCACCAGTGTCATTAGCTTGACAAACACTATATTTGATACAAATGACTGAAATATCAAGATCAAAATATCACATGATCAATTAGATATATTTATTTCGACAAGAAAAATAAGTGGAAATTATTTAATTTTTCGTGAAACTTTTACTTACCAAACATTACGCTATGTATTATTCCTACCATTTTTATTAGTTAACTGAATTTCACAATAGAATTTTACACTAGCGGCAAGGATTTTATGACCAAAAATACAACAAAATTTAATATGAACCAATAAAATGTAACGAAGTTTACAGTAACATGATTCTAACTTTTAGTATGTGTAAAGTTACTGTGTAAACAAAATAACTATGAGCATAATTTTTTAATATCAAAACTTGTCCTCAAAACGAAATGTCAAGAATTGAAAAACCTAAAGTATTAGATGCAGAATAAAGTTCTAAATCAGGTTAAATGTAAAGCAGTCCAAACTCAATGCCTTCTCAAGCATCTGCGCTAAAATGCGATATTGTTTGTGCGACTAGACTCACTGAATTGTATCGATGAAATCGGTTCAGTGGATCGCGTATAAGGAGGTGAATGAGAGCAGACGCCGAGTCGGATTGCGGCGGAACAACAATTTTCACCTGCAGGACTATTCTAAAACGCCGTTTACGTAGTTTGGATCTATCCGTCACCGTCGTTCATTCCGGCGTCTCGCTTTGCGGGAGAGGGATGGCAACATTCGAAACTTGGATTAAGTTTTTCGGAGTAACCCTGCAAAGCCCGTCGGAATTGCATCGGGATGTTTTGCCCGTTTCCATCTCCGCTGCATTTTACCTCTGACGGGCCATTTTGCAGTGTATTAGTGGGGAAGTGGATCAAATATTAAAAAAATATTTATAGCCGTTTTCATTCGCTGAAGTTTGTGAAGTAAATTGAATTTGTGTTTTGGTTGATTTTCAGCTATTGTTTGCGGAGCGCGGCGGAGAGATTAATAAAAGTTAATATGAATATGAAAATATTTCAGAATCTTTAGCTTTCAAAAAATACACTAATACTAAGCATCGTACTAATGATATTGCTACACAGTAGATCATACACGCTTTTCTTGTTTGAGTTTGCATTGTAAATCGTAATGCTCAAAATACACAACCGACCATCTAATCAAGTAGTATTGCACGTAAATCAATTATTTGGACTGTTGATGGTTTGTTTTTTCAGCAAAAACATTCCATTCCATCCCCCTCTGTTTGTGTTGCAAGGATCATGTTGAACAAAACCACCTCTCCACAATTAATTTGTAAAACGAAAAGCGGAGGCGTATTTGAGTGACGACATCGGACAAATTGCCGCAAACTTGTTTAGTTTCCCTTTCGTGTTTCCATTTTACTCTGAATTTTTCATTCAACAACGACATTTGGATTGCACTTCGCAATCGTGAAAATAAATATCAAACCACTTATGCTGATTAACCCTCAATCACTTCCGATCTACCGTAAACGAGTGCCAATAATAATGAATTTATTCTCGGCCACGGGTCCACTAGAGTCAATAGGATTGTTCAACAAATTGCATTGTCGGTTGTCAATATGACGCGGCTTTTGAACGAGAGTGTTGCATCAAAACGGGCCAGCATATTATTAACGGATTAAGAGCCTAATAATCGTGTTAGTAATTAATAATATTAATTTGATATAAACGTGACTCAGTGACGTTTAACACAACCACAACTCAACCCAGCTTAGGTTTAGGTGCTAATCCTATAATCAAAATTGCATATTTATAATATAACGTCACAAATCTAATAATTCTGTTGAAACGTACCACGGTGCGCTTCATTAACTAACAAGGCTACAACGTTTGTATTAGTGAGCAAAAGAATATTAAATAGAATGTTCCTGAAAGGAGGATATTTTATGCTTAGTGATTGCCGATGGCGAGTCTCAGTCAGGATTTTGAGTGTGCCATATCGTTGAAAGATCGACGTTTGCTTGAAAACCTCTGTGCGGGTCCGTTCGGTAATCACCAACTACCCCCGTGAAACTCGTATTTGAACGGCTCAAAGCTTACAGTTGAATAGTAGGTATATTTGAAAAATGCACAAATAATCGGTTCTCGAATCACTAATAATTTAAAATTCCAAATGATCGGTGGAAGATTTTTACGTACCTACGTACGAGTATGATTAAATTGACAATTGACACATTAAATTGGTAGAGTTTTGAAGACCACTTTTAACATTTATTTGTACAGTTAACTTTTTTAAATTAATTAGATTGTCTTCCGTAACCGACTGCAACGTATTTTTAAAGTATGTACTTTTAAATGTATCTATAAAACCTTTTATCCGCTCAGTACTTAAAGTATTTGACGTTTCTCTCTCAAATAAGTATAAAAGTTTTCTTGAGGCTTGATGTCTAGATTTTAGTAGTTCATTGCTCTTAGTTTCTGTGAAAGATAACCAGTGATATCCCCATTTTAACCCCTATCTCTGTGGTATAAAATATTCTTATTTTTCTTCTACTAATTTTCTTTTTCTTTAGTGTGTTTAATCATATGATATTTATTGGAATTCATTTTTTTTTCAAAAGACTGTTTCACTTTTCGTAGCATTAGTTATTATATCTCATCCAAGCGACAATAGGTCAATGGTGTCGGTGTCGGGATTTTTGTTTACAAATTACAAATATTCTTTTCAAATATCTAAGATGAGTTTTAGAAATATAAATCCCTGCAAGCCCAAGAAAATATTACCTTGCAGTTCACAAATAAACGTGTGACGTCATACTGATAGTCGTATCAGCTGTTACGATAAGCGCATGAATTTTATCAACGTGTAAACTACTCTCGAAATTATTACTAATTGTAAACGTACATATTCGTGATAAGATAGTATCTACATACATTTATTTACATAACATTGTAGAAAAAATCATAATCAGCAAAGTTTGTTTATTTTTGTAAAAAAAAATGTCTTCTTCTGACTACAATCGACTGTAACGGAAAATCAAAATAAAAACATCAGTTGTCAAATAAAATATGTCAGAAACTGTTATTTGCCTGTGGCAATATCTGGTTGTCATATTCAGAATCACATATCCCTTTTCACATCATGACGTGATTTTACTGAAAAAATATCCAATAATAGTAGTGTTATTATTAATTTAAAAAAATTAACGCAAATAATATTTTCACGGTATTCTTTACCTAATAAGTATTGACACTCAAGTATGAAGTCTCAATTAGCTTCAAAAGCGTAGGTAAGACAGCCGACAGACTAATACCATCTTGAGACGATGTATAACAATGCCTTTCTAAGTAATTACCTAGCAAAGGCGATTACAATATGCGTGAATATTCAGTTTTTTGCTTGAAAAATTCTAGTTTAGTCATGAAAAAATCTTACATAAACCTGAGTGACACAAACAGAGCGAGCGTGCATCGTCTGTCAAAATGTATGAAATTATCACGCTACGCTCACGTCAAACCGTGGCTATTGTAGTCGTACATAACCTTGATCCTTGTTCCTTTTTTATCACATTCCCTGATACATCATTAGGGTACTTCGAACGTTCCACGTCACAGGAAGGCTTAATGAGCCTTTGAAAAGTCGTCATTAGCGCGTCAAAGATAGATAGGAAAGCCGTAGGCAGCTGGTGACAATAGATATTCTATGCGCAGTTAGTGCCTGGGCACGCGAAAGGTGATCCATTGTTGATTCACCACAGACGTGTAGGATGGCTCGTTTGCGGTATTTTTCGAATACGCGCTAAATAAGTTCGCACGCCGCAGCGTCTGACTCTACGACGAAGTGAAGGTCCCAGTCCTACATTAAAATGTATGGAGTGACATAGTTTACGTCATTAGACTTCAGAGCGAGCGCGTTCATGCATACTTTGATGTGAATTTCAGCCAGTATCGCAAAGCTTGAGAACTAACAAATTAAGCACCCAAAATATGCCTTGATATTGTTATGTTTAGCTCTAAATTTGTACGGCATGTTTTCATTAACCTTTTGCTCACACATGTTTAGTGTGGGATGTAGAGATGGACCTAATTTGCGATTGTAAGTTGGTAATTTTGCGAAACGAAATGCAAACAAACCCAACTTTAGGTAGTTAAATTTTAACTCAAGTGTTAAAAATTTGTGTCTCCTCGATAATTTTCAAACATATATTTACGCCCAGAATGTCAGAGCGAAAAGAGATTTAGTCGAAAATACAGAAATCATTTCAGAGAGTATCTACTCTCCGAAATTATTTCTGAAGCTCTAGGTAGAGCTACGAGTAATATAGGGCTTCATTTGTTTTTATCGGAGCGCAAGCAAGCAATACACTTACGATTAGGTAAGTGTACTCGTATACATACATAAGTCGAGATGTCGGACGTATGACTAATGACTATCCACACACGCTCAGGGACTGTTTCCGACAGTCGGCCGATAGGCTTGATTTTGCCTGTGTCTGGGATTTGTGCAATATACATTTACATATACTATGCGAGTCAGTAACAGATATCAGTGACGTGCAATCTGCAAGTAAAGCGGCCAATCCACCAGAATTCAATTACAATACGAGTAACTTCGTTATGCTGCCTAGATATGTCACCGCACAATTTGTCAGCCGTCAGTCTGGTGAGTTCGCAGCGACATTTCAATACTGGACGAGCGCGTTTTGTCTCTGCGGGAAGCAGTTAACTATGACACATGAGTAATTGCGTATTAAATACCAACACGTTTGAAAAAAGCTAGCAGTTCCTGGGAGGAGCGAGGTAGGACTTTTGATAATTATAAACTAAAATAGAGAAACACGGGTCTCAATCTCAACGCGACTATGAGTTACATAATATGTATGTACTCACGGTTTGATGTTTAGACTGCTATGCTGCACTTTAAAATTTTAATACATATAAATGTATACTTAACTAGTACAGCGATTAGTCATTTGTCTTTCAGCTCTCAGTCTCTCAGCTGCACTTGTGTGCATATACCTGCGTACAAATAACCAACAAACGTAATAAAAGATGTTTGACATTCATCAATTGTCCGTTTATTATAATATGTGCTGTTCATATAAAATAACAAAGAAGCAAGCACTTCAATGTGGTGACTTCCCTTTGCAATTCGTTACTTATGCGTTGTGTTGGTTTAGTAACAATACAAATTGATTGCTCAAAAT